ATCGTCGAACGTCCGATCCCTTAGTGCTCGGATTGAACGCTTCGAAAAGCCTCGGGCGAGCTGCTTCGAGGTTCGGCAAAGGTGGTGCCATCGATCCGTGAAATGTCGGTGTCACCGCTTTTGCTGTTGCTGTCGCTGCTGCGTTCACTGCTGCATTTACTGTTGTGGTGGCGGCTACTGATTGGTTCCCCAGGAGGGCCTTGATTCGCCGAATCGCGGCCTGCGTCTGCTCCACATTGGTGCGAAGGCTGGCGATGTCGTAGGTGGTCGCGTAATTGTCGCCTTGTCCCTCCATCCCTGACATTGCACATCCGAAAACAAAAAACGAGGGGGAGTGAAAAACACGGAACTGGTTTTACATACCCGAAATCGGTGATTAACAGTCGTCGTCCCCGCGGTTTGTTTAAGACTCGGTTTTAGTGGTCGAAAAAACTTCGCGTTTAAACGACTCTGATTACTAAGTGTAAGGATCTAGGACCGAGCTCAGAAAAGAGAGTTTGAATTCAATGATCCAATTGGGTACAACACGAGGCTATATATAGTCTCGACACAAGGCCAACAATGCAGGTGTTACGCGAAGGTTCTAAGGGTCGTGAAGCGTTCCGAACAGAGCTTTCCCAAATTCGGTAGAAGGCGATTCGGTGGCAACCGAAAAGCCTAGAATTCTGTTTACGCAACCTGCTTCGGTGCTATAACTATAATGACCTATAGGAATGCACCTAACCTAGGTAATCTGTTAGACTTAAAACGTACTAAGCTAGCTACTAACAAGCTTTAGGTGGCACTAGAACTCTCTCCTCGAGGTCACCTCCTAGGGTCCTTGGGTGCCTGACCGAGGTCAGCCCCTATCCAAGGGTCCGATTGTGTAGAGAGAGAGTCGCTTCCTTGGCGTTGTCAAGAGAATTTACTATATCAGCGTACTTGCAGCAGGCGGAAGAGAAATCCTTTACTCAAGCTATATTTTGGAGCAATGTTACGAGTGCAATTGAGTGAACGAACGAGAATTGCACTATCGAAGCAAGAATACAATGAGCGAAGGCATGAGCGAAGAATATATAGCGAAACTATAGTGGTAACGGTAATGGACTGTGGTTGTCGCGAGACGGGCCTGGGACTGAGGTCGGGAAAAGTGTCGAAGCGAAGGCCCGGAGCGCGGGTTACCCGCCGAGCCGTGAGGTTGGGGTGCGACGTGCGAAGGTGGCGGGAGGATTGTCGATGCGAGAGCTGCGAGTGGTAACGGTGCTGACTGTGGGGCTACAGTGGTGTACGCGCTGAGCGGGGACGCGAAGTAAGGAAAAGGAATTTTCCTTACACTACCCTCCTCCCCCCCCTAAGGAGGTCCTCACGAAAGTGCGTGTACATCCCTGAAGTTTCGGCTGCGCAGATACTCGGTGAGGACGGGGTGGTTTTCGATTCTGTCCAAGGGAACCCAGTTTTCTTCAGTGGGTGTACGATCTTTCCAGCGTATCAGGAACTCGATCCTCCGGGCTCCTTGAGGGTCACGAACTCGGTGGCTCAGGATTTTTTCGGGGGTGATGATTGGTTCAGTTGGCGGACGTGTCATGCTGGCTGGGCGGGTGCGTGGCAGTCGGCTCGTGGACGGGACGTAAGGGCGAAGCAGGCTGACGTGGAATGAGGGGCTGACGTACCAGTCAGCAGGGAGGAGGAGGTGGGCGGTGACGGATGTGATCATGTGGCTGATGCAAAATGGTCCACAGTATCAGGGGCGTAGTTTTGGGGTGATGGGCAGGCGGAGGTTCTGGGTGTCAAGTAAAACCAGGTCGTCGGGCTGGTAAGTGACAGGTCTGCGGTGGCGGTCGGCGTTACGTTTAGCGATGATGTTGGATTTTTATATTGCATCTGCTGCCCGGGTCCGTGCTGCTTGTAATATTTCGACGAAGTGTTGTGCTCGTGGCACTGGGTTGTCGGGATTCGGGGTCATGGGTACTTGTTGGGTGATGCTACCATTCGCATTCACGTCTGTCTGCCTCCCATCATATGTTCGTGCGTTGCATGCGTGTTGTGAGTGTGTGCAAGAATTTGTGTTTTGTGCGGTTTGGTTTTTCTGAGTGTGTGTGTGTGTGTGAATATTATTTGGCTTGAGCAGATATCTGAAGTGACTCCTCTGCTCAAGAGCTTTCCGAGGAACCAAGTATCGCTTTAATCGGAGCACGAACAAGAAAGTTACGAACGTTGGAGTTCGTATGCTTTTGATATTTGGTTGTGGTGACCATGGGAAGTTGTGGGGTTGACTCAATATGGGGTACAGACTTTTGGGGGTTGGGAAATTCGTTTTTTCTACTGTAGTTGCTGTCAAATGGTTGGGAGAAACCAAACCAGGTTGGCAAGTGTGGCCAAGTTTGGTTGAGGTGGATTGTGGAGGTTGGGATAATGACCAAGGTCAAAGTTGGGTTGCCTATGGGGAAGGGAATTGTATGGCATGGGGTTTACTTGGTTGGGGACTCTCTTGGGACCTTCCCTCTCGTCCTCCTCATCCCTTCCACCTGGTTTAGTGCTACTCCAATTCTCTTGTGTGAACTTAGTGATTGAGTTAAGTTCTTATGGCAGCATACCCCCCTGTGCGCCGAAATTGATAAGTCGAGATTTACTTCACCTCTTGATACGTTTCAACTTGGGAATTGTAGCCACGGAGTAGGGCTACAACATATATGGGTTTAGTGAAGTTTTGACTGCGCACGTTTCGTCGACGTCGTTTCTTGTGAGTGCAACTATTCTGTCCAGAAATAGGGACCAACGATTTTGAGAAATTTAGGCACCTAATCTTCATAGACTCCGTCCTTAGTCTCTAACAGTACTGTCGGGTCTTGTCCGTGGTTTAGGTAAAATGGTGACTGTTGGGTCGTGGCGGATGGCGAGTTGTTGTACGCGAATTCGATGAGTGGCAGTTGCTGTTCCCACGTGGTCGGGTCATCGCACATGGCCCTGATGAGCTGTTCCATGGTCCGATTTGTCCGTTCTGTCTGTCCGTCGGTTTCAGGGTGGTATGATGAACTGAACTGCAGTCGGGTGCCGAACTACTGCCACAGGTTCTGCCAGAAGTTGCTGGTGAATTTCGTGTCGCGGTCGCTGATTATTGCTGCTGGTATCCCGTGCAGTCGAACGACGGTGAAGATGAAGAGTCGTGCTGTTTCTTTGGCTGTGATTGATTTTTTGCAGGCTGCGAAATGTGCCATTTTCGTCCGTCGATCGACGACGACCAGGTGTCAAACTTATATTATATAGCTTGTCTAGGCTATAGTGGGGTAGACACTATGGGGTACATTTTCCTAGGGTTTCCTACTTGTACCCAACCTTGTGCTAGTTCATTCATTCCTCATTCTTTCACATTGTATAGAGCAGGTTCCCTAGTGGAAATGCTTCCTTGGGCTCACCACTGAATTTTTTTTCTGGCCGGAGCGCCATTCGCTGCTGCCCGAGGCGCGCCCTGTGGGCCACCCTTCCGTTGAGGTCCCTTAGAGGCCCCTCCCACGGCCCCCAGTGCCGCCCCTCGCGGCCCCTAGCGGCCCCGTCGCCGCCCCTACGCGGCCCCGTAGCCGCCCCTAGCGGCCCCGTCGCCGCCCCCTACGCGGCCCCGTCGCCGCCCCTAGCGGCCCCGTCGACGCCCCTAGCGGCCCCATCGCCGCCTCTCCACCTACGCGGCCCCGTCGCCGCCCCTAAGCGGCCCCGTCGCCGCCCCTACGCGGCCCCGTCGCCGCCCCTAAGCGGCCCCGTCGCCGCCCCTACGCGGCCCCGTCGCCGCCCCTAGCGGCCCCGCCGCGGCCTCCCTACCTACGCGGACCCGTCGCCGCCCCTACGCGGCCCCGTCGCCGCCCCTACGCGGCCCCGTCGCCGCCTCTAGCGGCCCCGTCGCCGCCCCTAGCGGCCCCGTCACTGCCTCCCTACCTACGCGGCCCCGTCGCCGCCCCTAAGCGGCCCCGTTGCCGCCCCTAGCGGCCCTGTCGCCGCCTCCCTACCTACGCGGCCCTGTCGCCGCCCCTACGCAGCCCTGTCGCAGCCCCTACGCGGCCCCGTCGCCGCCCCTAGCGGCCCCATCGCCGCCCTCAGCGGCCTCGTCGCTGCCTCCCTACCTACGCGGCCCCTTCGCCGCCCCTAGCGGCCCCTTCAGCCGCCGAGCCGCCCAGCAGCCGAGCCGCCGAGCAGCCGAGCCGCCAAGCCGCCCGACAGCCGAGCCGCCCAGCAGCCGAGCCGCCGAGTAGCCGAGCCGCCCAGCAACCGACCCGCCGAGCCGCCCAGCAACCAACCCGCCGAGCCGCCCAGCAGCCGAGCCGCCGAGCCGCCCAGCAGCCGAGCAGCCGAGCCGCCCAGCAGCCAAGCTGCCGAGCAGCCCGAAAGCCGAGCCGCCCAACAGCCGAACCGCCCGACAGCCGAGCCGCCCAGCAGCCGAGCCGCCGAGCCGCCCAGCAACCGAGCCGCCGAGCCGCCCTGCCGTCGAGCCTCTACTGTTCCTACCGGCGTGCCCCATCCCTACCTTGGACTGCTGAGATCACTCCCTGTTAGGCCACTGCAGTCATGGCTAACCCCAGTGTTCTTACCTTTGATACTGAGGGTCGTGCTGTTGACTTTGAGGTCTGGGTCGATGACCTCCAGCTATTCCTATAGTGCGATAGGGCAGACGGACTCTCCTTGTTCGATCTTACCTCTGGTGCCTCCCCTGCCCCGCCTGCTACTACTGACATCACTGTTCGCTCAAAGTGGGCCACACACGATGCTGCTGCCCGTCTTGCTGTGCGTCGCCACTTACCGACCACTGAGCGTGCGCACTTTAGCCAGTACAAGAGTGCTCAGACCTTGTACGACGCTGTAGTTGCACACTAATCCTCCCCTGGCACTGCTGCGCTTAGCCGCCTCATGCTGCCGTACCTGTTCCCTGACCTTGCTGCCTTTCCCACAGTCACTGACCTCATTACGCACCTTTGCACTGGTGACACTCGCTACCGCGCTGTGCTTCCTGCTGAGTTCTGCGCCAAGAACCCCCCCCCATGTACATCACCCTCTACTACATAGTCACCCAGCTCCCTGACTCCCTTCGCCTAGTCAGGGACCACTTCCTCTCAGTTTGCCCCACCACACTCACCGTAGACCTCCTCGAGGAGCACCTCCTAGCAACAGAGAAGAGCATAGTCGCTGCAGGAGCCTCTCGTGGTGACCCTCGCACCCCAGTCTTTGAGGGGTGTTCCCCCTCCCCCCTCTTGCCCTATGTTGCTTCTGCTGCTGCTGCCGACCTCGTTGGTTTCTACAGGGTCGGCGCTGCGTCTGCCCCTAGCGGGAGACGCCGCACCGGCAAGGGCAAGGAGGGCAAGGGCGCTGGAGGGGCTGGCGGGGGCGGTGGAGGTGGTGGTGGAGGCAGTGGAGGGGGTGGGGGTGGTGGTGGGAGTGGTGGCGGGGGTGGAGGTGTCGGTGGCAGCAGTGGAGGCGGAGGAGGCGGCGGCGGTGGCCGAGGGAGCGGAGGCGGCGGAGGTGGCGGAGGCGGCGTAGGTGGCGGAGGCGGCGGAGGTGGCGGAGGCGGCGGCGGCAGCGGTGGAGCTGGTCGCGGCTCTGCGCAGAGGAGTGGGTCCGCGCCAGCAGCAGCAGCGCAATCGTGAGACCCTGTCCCCTCAGCATCTTCGTGAGTGGTACGCTGCGCTTCAGCGCGGTGGGGGTACTGGTCCCTGTACCTACGTCCTCCGTACCGGCGACCGTGCTGGTGAGCAGTGCGGGGGCCCGCACTCCACCCAGCGCTGCTTTGGCCGCCTGACGGGCGCGTGGCGACACCAGTTCCCTGACGCCACTGAGATCCCTCGCTGGGGAGAGCTTTCTAGGGCGGGTGTTGCTATCTTTGATCTTGATTATGATGCTATTCTTGCTGCCATGTATGCTGTGTCTGATTGTGATGAGGTTGACTGTTACCTGTGTGTTCCGCCTGACCCGGGCATTGAGGCTGCTGCTCTAGGTGCTGGTGAGGCTGCTGCTCTAGGTGCTAGTGCGTCTGCTGCCCCAGGTACTGGTGCGTCTACTCTCTCAGGTACCACGTCGGCTAAGGCCTTACACACCTTCACCCTTGACTCGGGTGCTTCCCGCTCCTTCTTTCGAGACCGCACCACGCTTACGCCGCTTAGTCGGCCGGTTGCGGTCTCCCTGATGGACCTCTCTAGGGGTCCTGTCCTTGCTCGCTTCTCCACTGTCTTACCGTGCCCGGCAGCCCCCTCTGGCACCCTGTCCGGTCTCTAACTCCCCTCGTTCTCTACGAACTTGGTGAGTGGAGCTGATTTTACAGGACAGTGGGGTTGACCAGTTCACTCCTGCGAGTCAGCGGGTGACCCACTGCACGTGTGCTCGGACAGGCCGACACTTGGCCACGTTCACCCGTCGGCCGGAGTCGAGCCTGTACACACTTACTACTGAGTCTCCTCCGGCTGCTGCGTCTGGTCAGGTATTTGCCTCGAGTCAGGTGCTTGCTGCAGCGTCCAGGTCTGGTCCTGAGTCTGCTCCCTGCTTGTGTCGTCTCCTGTCCCACCAGACTCTCCTTTGGCACCACCGACTTGGTCACCCCTCCCTGCCTCGTCTCCAAGGCATGACCTCCCATGTCCTTGTCTCTGGTCTCCCCCGGTCTATCCCTCCCCTACCTCCGGGGCCTGCCCCTACCTGCGTCCCCTGCGTCGAGGGCGACAGCGCGCCGCCCCTCACTCCTCTGAGTGTCCTCCGACAGAGGCTCCGCTGCCCATCTGGGAGCCTTCTGTCGAGCACAGGGCATCTGCCAGACCTTCACGCTTCCGGCCTCTCCACAGCAAAATGGGATTGCTGAGCGCCGCGTTGGCATGGTCATGGACGTCGCTCGTACGTCCATGATCCATGCGGATGCCCCCCATTTTCTGTGGCCGTTTGCGGTTCAGTACGCAGCGCATCAGCTCAACCTTCAACCCCGGGTCTCCTTCCTAGAGACCTCCCCCACCTTGCGGTGGACGGGGAAGGTTGGCGATGCGTCGCGTTTCGGGTCTGGGGATCTCGGGCGTTTGTCCGCGACTTGTATGAGGACAAGCTGTCTCCCCGTGCTGTTCCTTGCGTCTTCCTTGGCTTCCCCCCTGACGCGCCCGGGTGGCAGTTTTACCACCCCACCTCGAGCCGTGTTCTGTCCTCTCAGGACGTCACCTTTGACGAGTCGGTGCCTTACTACCGTCTCTTCCCCTACCGCACTGCGCCCCTACCTCCACCGCCGCTCTTCCTTGCGCCAGGTCCTCCCCCGGTAGACTCCCTCCCCCCCAGGGTCCTGCCCCGTCAGGTGTGTCCCAGGTAGACGCAGTCAAGCCTGTCGAGGTAGCTGTTGACTCTGGTGCTGCTAGAGGTGCTGCGCCTGCGGGTGCCAGGTCTGGAGGTGCTGAGCCTGAGGGTGCGGAGTTTGGGGGTGCTGAGTCCAAGGGTGCGGAGCCTGGGGGTGCTGAGCCTGGGGGTGCTGAGCTTGGGGGTGCTGAGTCTGGGGGTGCGGAGCCTGGGGGTGCTGAGTCTGGAGGTGCTGAGCCTGGGGGTACGGAGCCTGGGGGTGCTGGGTCTGCTCGTGTGGCCTCTCGCGGTGCTTCGTCGAGGCGGGAGCCACTCTCTCCGCAGGAGCTGGGCAAGTGGTTTGCCCGCCGCTGGAGCCGTGCTGCTGAGGCTGGAGGCTATCAATGGGAGCGTTGTAAGGCCCTGTCCTCGCTTGGGCGGAGCCAACCTTGTGGTCTGATGAGCGGGGGCTGCAGCCGATCTGCAGCAGTGGGCACGGGGGCCACTGCAAGGGCGCCTGGCTGGAGGGCGCCGCCCTGGACGTCTTGGTGGCGTCCCGGACGCCTGGACGGCGTCCTGGGAATTTGGACGCCGAGTTGGTCGTCGCCACGACCACCCGGACGCCTGGTCGACGTCGTGGACGTCTGCACGGCGTCCGGGGGTCCGGACGCCGACCTGGGCGTCGGGCCTCGATACCGACCTGGGTGTCTTGTCGGCGTCCTGGGAGGAGCGACGCCGCTCTAGAGGTTTGGTCGGCGTCCTAGGCGTCTGGACGCCAACCTAGGGGTTTGGAAGGCGTTCTGGGTGGACCTAGACGCCGGACTGGGGACGCCGGGCATGCGTGGCCAGCTACGGACTGCGTGGGTCGACCAGGCGTGGTTGCCCGGTCGATCGGGATACCCGGGCGACGTGCGCGAGTGTCGCCAGGGTGGAGTCTGCGAGGCTGATCTCGGGGGTGGTATCCCGAGGTCGACGTGGCTGGTGGGCACAGTCGCTGGCGTGGAGTCTGCCAGGCGTCTGCGTTGCGCACATGACAGGGAAGTGCGCACCAACCAGCTGCGCACACCTGCAAAGCAGGTGCACCGTTGTCCTGCGGGTGCAGCGCTGTGCAGCCGACTTGCTGCAGAACTAGCACACCGTGGACTTGCAACGTTGGCGAACCGCTACTCTGCAACGCTGGAGCGGTGCGAGCGCTGCTGCGCTGGAGCGCGGTCGACCGTGCTGCGTTGGAGGTCGACCAGCAGCCTAGCTAGCACTGATATAGTCTGTGATGCCAATGTTGTTGCAATCATTGTTGTCATGCTTTCCTAGTGAGCCTCTTGTCAATTCTCCCCGTGAACTAGCAAGAAGCGTGAACACAAGGAAACGACTAAGTGAATGAACGCAGAGATCACACGAGCACACGTGCCTAGCCCGTAGTCTAGCTCCCGTTGCAGAAGTTATCTCCGCATGGTGCGGTGAGCGTGGAAGTCACCGCGACGTAGTTTAGTCTAGTCGACTTAGCACATACCGATCGCGTTCGTAGACCGGCAGCCGTGCAGTCACTAGCGTGCGCGTAGGCGACGCCGAGGTGATGGACACCCTGGAGGGACGGCTGGAGGATGCGAGGAGAAGCCATGAGGCCCAGGAGTATGGGGCGATACCCTGGGCAGTTGTCGAAGCCGGACTCCGCTCCGTGTGGGCGGCGGAGCACCCCCCTTCTCGACCTGCCTCTCCTCGACCGGTGAACAATGACGGCTGCGTCGACGTGGGCGTCAACGCCGGTGGAGGTCAGGTCGGCAGCAGTGCGGGAGGCACGTCGAGGCAGCGAGGTGTGATACACGCCGGTGAAGCTGGCGGCGTTCAGGCGCGAGGGATGTAGGCGTCGGCGGCTGCAGGCTCCTCGCAGGGCGACGCCAGAGGACGACGAAGCGGATTGTCGCCGATGTCAGCGTCCCAGGTGACGGCAGGTGGGATTGCGCCGAGCTACGGCTACTTCAAGTTTACGCCGGACAGAATCTCGGTCACCCCTCCGCTGGTCGGTCAACCCGACATTCTCACCTGGAAGGAAGCTATCGAGCCTCAGCTGGAGATGACCGGGCTGATCGGCTTCGCCCGAGGGACCGTGGCAAAGCCGGGGGAGCACCACCCAGACTTGCGGGCGGAGTTTCGCGCCGTGCAGCTGTTGACCTTCACGGTCATCTTGCGGTGCTGCTCGCCGGGCGTGCAGATCGCTTTGAAGTGGTGCCGGGAGTACATCGACGCCGGCCACCGGGCGTGGCACTTCATTGAGTCGACGTACCAAGTCACCGACGACCTGTTCATCGCCCAGCTGGAGGGATAGCTGACGCACCTGCGTATGGGTGACGAGGAGACAGCGACTGACTACTGCAACCGGGCCCGGCGAATTCTCGCCACTATCAGGATGGCCGGCGCGCAGTACTCCACGGCGTCGTACATCACCCATGTCATGCAGGGTCTCTCTAACAGCTACAACCTGCTGAAGCGGCTGTCCATGGCGCCGAGCACGAGGGCGTCGCTCAACGAGGACAACCTGACCTCGTACATCCTGCAGGACGAGGCGATGCAGGAGGCTGAGCGGTCACAGGAACTCTTGGCGCAGGCCAAATTCGTCGCCCCGACGAAGCAAGGAGGCCGACCAGGACAGCGGGGACAGTCTGGAGGCGGCGGGAGTGGTGGCTGGAAGCCGGCCAAGGAGGTCGACAAGAAGAGGTCGACCAAGGACAGCGGTCGTGGAGGAGGAGGTCGACGTCGGAAGTGCTGGCTGTGCGGCGACCCCGACCATCTCTCCTTCGAGTGTCTCAACCGCAGTGACTCCGACGACGACGACGCTAAGGGAGGCCATGGGAGGTCAGGCAGCCGTCGTCCTCGTCGTGGAAGAAACCAGCCGCGCAAGGAGAAGCAGTCGACCAAGACATCGACTTCGGCGAAGGACGCCGACTCCGCTGCAGGCGGCAAGGGGCGAGACGACAAGACGGCGTCGTGCTCGCTGGTCGGCGTCGTGGAGCCGACCATCTCTCTGGCGCTGGAGGCCGGAGAGGACTTCCAGGCTGTGGCGGCAGCTGTGCAGGCGAACCCGGCGGTGGTCCTGCTCGACAGCGGTTGCTCCCACCACCTGATGGGGACGAAGGAAGCCTTCGTCGACTTGCAGTCGAGCGGCGCCATTAGGCATGTGCGCGGCTTCAATGGGGCGCTGCAGGATGTCCAGGGCCGTGGCACCGTCGCTCTGCAAGGAGAGGCCGGGAAGGAGGTGCTCATCTCTGACGTGTTGTACGTCCCGGGTGTGCGAGCCAACCTGCTGTCGGCCGACCAGCTGAAGGAACACGGCGTGAAGCTGCAGGAGGACGGAGACGGCATGCTGCTCGTCTTGGCAGCAGGGGAGGTGCTCGGGCGGGCGACGTACTCCGGGCGAGTCCTCTGTACCGACCTGCGTCCCTGCGCGACGAGGTCAACGCCACCCACGACGGAGGTTGTGGCTCTGCGGGCGATCGTCTCGAAGACGAAGTCGACGCCAGACCGGATGCATGCGAGGCTTGCACACGACAACATGGTCACCATACGGAGCTCGGCGAAGAACGAGGTCGCCATTGGGTTGGACCTCAAGTCGGCGATGGACGCCGACTCCCCGTGTGTCTCATGCGTTGGCGGGACACCTTCCCCGACCAAGGCTCCGACGCCGATGATGTGCTGGCCGTCGTGCACATCGACTTGTGCGGGCCGTTCCGCGTGGCTGCCAAGGATGGCAGCCTTTACTTCTTGCTGCTGAAGGACCGCAAGACCCGCTACGTGTGGGTGAAGCCGGTCGCCAAGAAGTCAGATGCGTTGCAGGCGTTCGTGCAGTGGCTGGCGGTGGCTGAGCGGCAGACGAAGAAGCCGGTGTTGATGCTGCGATCTGATCGGGGAAGGGAGTTCCTCGGGAAGCAGTTCACCGACTTCGTGAACGGCAAGGGGATCGTCCACGACCTGACCTGCCC